CTCTAATATGCCACAGATATACGTCATGTATATCTCATGCCTGTTCATTTTTTCCAATACATGAGTCAAACTTCCCCTCCTTAATTACTCTTCTCTCAACTTTAATTACCTCTTCTCTCTCCTATATAATTTGTGATGCACCCATTTAATATCCTCTCTCGCGGTTACCATTTTTCAAGATTGGTTTCCTTTTCCCCTAATCTTTACCTATTTTCAATTGTTGCAAATTCAATTTCACGATTTTGATTTAACATTGATACTATTCTAATATCTTAGTAATGTTCTAAAAGTTGTCTTTGAAGTTTGATTTTTGTTAGACAATGATTTAACTAATGTCTAATTTTAATTTTTATATGCAAATCTTAAATGTATGGTATCCTATATATTTTAATGACTGATGTATGGCTGTATTAGATATGTATCGTATTCAATACCCATATCGTGATGCATGTTGAGGTTTAAACCATGGAATCTGGATGACTATATATTATTCCAACTAATTTTATGTGTGGTTTTAGAGTTGGTGATTGATTTGGGTTTGGATTTATATTTCGTTTTTTTTTGCATAATACTTACCTTCAGTGTCTATGTTTATCATGAACTCACTTCCTTGTAAATTTTCAGTGGGCTGACTGTGTGTCACAACTAATGCGGATGTATCCTTTTGCTTTTGAGTTTTCTGCGGTAATATGTTCTGGAATATTTCTTTGTTTTCTTGTAGAACTCTCTTTGTGTCTTTCCGGCTGGTAACTTTTACTATTTCATTATTCAGGCTTTCCTGGTGGACTTCTTAGACTGCATGTTCTCTTCTCGCTTTGGAAATTTCTTCTTTAATAGGTATTTCTGTTGTGTGCATTAAGGGAAGTGCAGTTTCCATGTTGTTGGTTATTGAATTCTGTTATGATTGCATCTATTTTTCAGTGAGAAGGAGAGGCTGCAGTGCAATGTTTTTGAAAGTTGTGGATGTCTATGGGCATACCTGGCTGATACGCGGAGATCAGAAGGAGCTTCCCATGTGCACTGTAATCCCTTTTATGATCCACTGAAGTACAATGGGCCTCTTCTCCCCCCGGCAGCAGCATTAGCCCCAACATTATGGCCCCAATTCCACCTTCGTTGGGCCTGCCCAGAAGAAGCACAGAGTGGAGAGATTGAAGCACAATGTAGGAAGATAAAACTGAACAACTCTGAGATGCAGAAGGTAAATATATAACATGGAATCCAACACGGACACATAACACAACACAAACACGTCACGTCGATACTGCCAAGTAAAAAACACAAGACACTGACTGGCCTTCTTTTGTCCATCTATTACAAAAGTAAATAGTGTTATAATCAAATTTGATGTTTTTAACTCATCATTGATCAACAGTTTCAACACATCTTTAATCATTTCAAAATTATTTGAGATTTGTCCAAGAAATGTATAAGGTGTGTGAAAGTAAATTTTTTTTTTTTGGGGACACTTGTTTGAATTCTCACACATGTGGTATGAGTGTCATTGAAGTGGTGGACACCTAGTTAGAGAATGTTGAAGGATAGAAAAAAATTATTTTTTTGGAATACTTGTTTGAGTTTGACACGGGTCGTACGAGTGTCATATAAATGTCGGACACTACGATACGCCGTATCCTAGAGGTGTATGTGCTTCATAGGTTATTGTATGAGTTAATGCTTTTATTGCGGCCTGCCCCTAGTCGCCTAAATTGCGGCATTTGGCTTGTCTTTATTGCAACCTCCAACACCTTCACTCTCTTGGGATTGAAGGGGTGGATTTAGTCCCACATTGCTTAGAGATATGGCCTATGTTGTGTTTATAAGTGGGGACAATTCTCACCTTACAAGTCGGTTTTGTAGAGATGAGTTAGGTCCAACCCAAGTTCTAAGATGGTATCAAAGCCTATCCTATATCACTTGTTGGGTTTCCCGGTTCCCGCATAGTCCACGCTTCGGCCTCATCGAGACCCGAGCGTGAGGGTGTTGGAATTTCTGCCTTCATTGCAGTCCTCCCCTAGACGCCTAAATTGCGGCATTTGGCTTGCTTTCATTGCAGCGTCTTTCATTGTGTTGGGTTTGAAGGGGGTGATTTTAGTCCCACATTGTTTAGAGATATGATATGTGTTGTGTTTATAAGTGGTGGGGGAAATCCTCACCTTACAAGCTGGTTTTGTTGGGATGAGATAGATCCAACCCAAATTCTAAAAGTGATATTGCTTAGTTTTCTGATTTTTACTATGTTCTATTCAAAAGCCATTGCATTTCTCCATCTGTGGATGGCCATTGCTCATCTTCACACACGTTTTTTTAAGCTTATCAATTATCAGAACAAATCTGTATGTTTATATATTGTGTCCCAAATGAGTTGAATTGTTGATCAGTTAGGATTTTCCTTTTAATGCTGTGTGGGATGGTAACAGGCTAAAGAAGTGGCAGAAAGGAAACTTAGAGAAAATACATATACTATAGAATCGTTGAATGCTGAATTGCGCCGTGAGAAACTATTAAACATCTCAGCTATGACCAAGGCGAAAAGGATAATAAAAGAAAACACAGACATAAAGCGTGCAATTCAGTCAATTGGGTGCAAGATTCACATTTCTAATAGTGGTGATTGCATTCTTGACATTGAAAACAACCCAGAAAATGCAGTTCAGAAATTGCATTTGTCCTCTAGGCAAGTATCAAGTAGTGCTGTGATTAACGACAAAAAGGATATATCTCTTTCTGTAACAGAAGATGACGATGGAAACAATGTTATTAGTCGAATTTGTGAAACTCTATGCCCTTTTCGCAGTAGAGATGGAGGCTGCATGTGGCCAAATGGTGCTTGTGCTCAACTAGGCAGCCAGTTTGTTGGTTTGAAGGCAAATTTTGATGCATTTGACCGGCTTTCGATTGATGACAGTTATTTCAAGCCCAAGTGAAAATTTTCTTCCTAAATAGACTTTGATAGTGAACAGGTACATGAACCAATTTTGGTTTTCTTCTTTACCGTGATATTTTTTGGGCTCTCCCGAATTGTACAGGCTTTTAGAGTCTAATGGTGGTCTCATTATTATTTTCATGTGTATAATTGTAAATTTAGGGACAACAATAGTAGCCAATTGCATTGGAATCATTCTTAATAAGATCAATTTTGTAGAGAGGATCATGTTTTTCTAGTGTTAACATTATTGCTACATCTTAAAGAAGACAATTAATCGTTGTCATGTAATTACATTACTGTGCCAGTTCATTATGTTCATAATCTGATTAAGCTTCAGAATATGCTATAGGTATCCTAAACATTAATGTGTTATTCATCCTGTCCCTTTTTTTAGATGAATTGTAAATTGTTATTTTTTAAAAGGTTTCATTAACAAGATAAGATTGATTTTTGTAGTGTCACTACTGACTAATATTAGCGACTTATTATGACAATCTCACAAAATTCAACCACTCATCCCAAAAAAGGAATTAACATGCCAACCTCCCTTTTTTCTAAATGTCAAAAATCCCTATGAACAAATTAGGGGGTGGCAAAGAACAAAATTTCCGACAAAAACCTAAATATTTGGTAAAAATGTTCAAAATAAAAAATTTCTTTTTTTTGCAATGCTTAGTTTTTTTTTCTTTGAAATTTCCGGCACCCCTCTAAATTTCTGATAAAAATTTATATTTTTGAAAATTAAAGGTGTTAGACAAAGATATAATAGTAAAAATATATCAAATGTGAGGGTAACATATATAACGGTAGAGTTGACATGTTAATTTCTCTAGAAAAATCAGGTAAGTGGAGATTTATATAGATAGAATTGTTAAAAAAACTAAACTGAACACCGAACTATATCAAGGTTAAAATAATCAAATCATATTGATTTGGTTAATGAGTCTAATCCTATTATTCAAACAGTTCAAAAACTGAATAAACGTTCGGTCTGGGAAAATTATTTTTTAACAATTCGGTATAGTTTAGAATTTTGAAACGGTATAAATTAAAATAATCGGACCGTTATATTTAGTTAATGAACCAAATCATATTATATAAACAACTCTAGAACCGAACTGAAATCAAACCGAATCAAAATTGAAAATAAAAAATACTAAAAATAAATTTTATTTATTTTTAAAAAACGGTTCGATTTAGAAAAAAATGTGTTCTAACGATTCAGTTATTGGAATTTTGAAACAAATATCAAACCAATAATTTTGATTTGATTCAATTATGAATAAATTAAAACGGTTCGGTTAATTTTTACTATGGATTAATTCTGTTCGATTTTCTAGACCATGAACAACCCTATATAAATATAAAAAAGGTTAAAAGTTTTTCATAAGTCTGTTTGTTTGAGTCGTCATTGCTGTGAGTCGTGTTGGATAAGAAGCTACGCTCTATGGCTTCTAGTTTTTACGGTGGAAAGTGGCTCATAATACAAGAATTACAAGCTAATGATATTTCCAATCATAAACTAATCTGGAACTTCATGTTGAAAACTTTGGAAATATTATAAACTATCCATCCCATCCCATCCCATTTACATGAGTACTAAGACCAGGATCACTTTAACTATTTAAGATCCGTTTTATGAATAATGTTCGGAAAAGTTACATTATGAGAATGATAATGGTAAGGAAAAATTCATTAAAATTATCATTTTTGAAAATGAAGATGATATGCAAGTGTATTAGTTAATGTGGGAACAAAAACCAACAGAGGGAGTAAAAATATTTTGACAGTGACAACCAGCAAGTGAAAATATTAAAATAGTTCATTGTAATTTTTCATTATGTTGATTCAAGAATTTTAACCTCCTGTCATTCTAGAATTTCATAGAAAGATACTTTTAGGGGTTAATGTCTAACTATTGACCTGTGATGCCAAAGCAAAATATACAGCAACCCTTGGCAAGTACTAACAAAGAGCAGCACCAACTGTTAGGAAAATGAAACAAATTTTCTTTGAAACAGTGTGAAAATATTGAAGTAGCATCATTATTGTATACAACTAATACAAATATCTATTCATTCTCCTGTGATCCAGTACCATCGTCTTCGTCATTCGGAGACCTCCCTCGAGCCTTCCTCTCATTCCACCTTGCCCAAATCCAACTCGAAACAAGGAATGCTCCTACTGCATAAATCTGTAAGCAAAATGTAGTAACTTATTAAAAAGTCATCAAAGTTATCACTTATCCCTATTTCAAACTATTCACATAATAAGACTAAAAATCAGAGTGAATGATATTGATGATTCTTTCAATCTGATCTCATAACAAGTTTAGATAGTGAACAATTACTTAACATTAGGGTTACCTATGAAACACAGTCACCTCAAAAAATGACTCAAACACGATGACACAGATGATAATTTTAAAAAATAAGTGCCGGTGCTACATAGTTAGGACTCAATCCAAGAAATACAAAAAATGAAAGTAATCTTCTAATCATCCAATTTTAAAACAAATTTCACTCAATCATTATCACAACTACACAATTCAAGATAGTATCTTTTGAACATGCCACAAGACTAATCATAACAAATATGTGCCTATTTTTTTTTTTTGTGTAGTACCAAAACCCTAATATGATATATAAATACACACGGGTGAAATTTGACAGAAAATAAATAAAAAATTGAAAAAGAAAAGAATACCTGATAAAGCTTAAAGGGATCAGAAGTCTTAGCAGAAAGGCCCTGAGAATCAGGTTGAGCCTGAAGAGGCGCAGGAACAACAACGGCAGACTGTTCGGTTTTCGGAAACGTTACAACATTCGGAGCCTTTCCTTCTTCCTCAACCTGATGATGACGATGCTCGTGATGGCGTTTTGGTGGGAAGAAAAAAGGAGGTAGTTTGAAGTTGAAATTGAAATTGGGGAAGAAAGGGATGAAGGGCTTCTTGGGCGTTTCAACTACTTCTTGTTGTGGTTGTTGAGTGGTAGTAACCACCATTGTTCCGGTGGATTTGTTACTCATTCTGATGATTCTTGCGACGGCGGAGATACCAACGGAAACGGAAGCGATGGAATTTGTTGGAATTGCTTTGCTTCGATTCTGTAAACTATTTATATATAGAATAGAATTGTTGCTAACTGCACAACACTCTCTCTAAATATTTCTATTTTTCGTAATTACTTTTATATATTCAAAAAATCAATAATTATTTATTATAATTGTAAAACTAAATTTATTGGATCAGTTATAAAATTTATGGTGCATTGGTCCTCCACATACAACTGTCCTAAATATGTAGTCATGTTAAATTTTTTCGAAACAGTTCAGTCGTTTATTATGATTTTATAAGATTCCAGAGCGCTATGTAATTATGCGTAAATGATAATCGATTTTATTTAAAAATAATAATTAGGATAATTTAATGGTTGTAAACAATATAATTATGTGTATTTATATGGTTTTAATAATGGTAGAAATTGATCTTCTCACGTAATAGTTGAGTGTAGGAAAACTTCATGATAACCTAAATTCAAGATAACTTCAATGTCAACTTCAAAATTTATTTCATATTTTCTTTTTAATTCCATTTTCCTTTTCAAATTTTTCTTTTTCAAATTCCTTTTATTTTATTCCCATATGAATAAATACTAAGATTCAGACTTCCTGCAACATATACTCACAAACACTTTGATCATCCCCATTAATCTTTAATAAAAGAGTAATGTTTAAGTACACATGTTAATAAACTTCCCAATAAAAATTGTGTTAAAAAAACAATAGAACTATTAATAATATGCGTTTAACGAAATCAATGTACAATTTCTAAGAAAATATTTTTATATTTATCTTTTAACTTATAGTTTTGAAACACATGTTACTTAGCATCACCCTTAATAAAATATGATCTGGATTAGGCATACATTTGCCCTACGAAAAGAATGTCCAAACGGCCTAAGTCAGAGATTGTGGGGCACCTCGCCATCTAACCGTTGAGAGATGTGGCCCACCATTTCTCAACGGACACATCAAACTGTCCATTGGGAATTTCGGGTCTAACCATATTCTCGCGGAGCGGTTGACCAGGGGAAAATCCACTTGCTGGACTTCATACTCACGTAAACCCTGGCAATTTCCGTTATTGGGACTCTGCGTGGCCCAATGGTGGGGACTTTGGCCCAACGCTAGGGGCTACAAATACCCTCTCATGAGAGGGTCAGGTATTCATTCATTCACACCTATACTTACTTGCTTGCTCATTCCATCTCTCATTTCACCATCAGAGTGTCTTGCAGGTACCCCCCCATCTCCTTCAAATCCAGCCTGAAGTCAATTGTGACAGTCCAACTCTGATCAGGTACGATCAGTGGCGCCGTCTGTGGAAAACTAAGCTTCCCCATCTTCTTCACTTAAAAAGATCAAAGCTAAAACCATCCTCGACTGTCATGGTTGACCAGACTCATGACAACCAGAACGTCCGCGTCATCGAAGCTAACAACAACATCGCTGACAATAATGCTGGCCTCGACAACGCCGGCATCACCGACCATAACACGGTCCCCGGCGGCAACATCCCCGGGCCTTCTAACTACCGAGACGGAGTCATAACTTCGTCTTCATCAATCCCTCCTCGGCTTGAAGAAGATCATCTAGTTCCTCTGAACTATCTAGCCGTCCAATTCCACGAGGTTCCTGTCCCCGCCGGGGCAGACGCCACGACCAGGGCACTGTTCGCGGAGATTAACCAGACCAACTATCTCATCTTTGCCCAGGGGGAAAGATTGAGAGCACTTGAAGACGACCGAAGGCCCCCTAGAAGACATAGGAGGCCTCAATCTCCTCCCCCTCGACAAACAGAGGAACGTCCCCGATCTCCCCCATGGAGACAGGATCGGGACATCTCTCGAAGCCCGTCGCCTCAACCAATCGGGCGGCGACCCCCCTTGGAGAGGGAACCACTCATCGAAACGGGAAGGCGCGACCACGACCCTTCGCGGCAAGAACGAAGACCTCCCTGGGACAGACACAGAGGAATTTATCAACGGTCACATCGCTCGAGGAACGTCCCGCACGACCAGGGATATCGTGATCGACAATACATCAGATCCCCGTCCCACTCCCCGGAACGGAGTGACGAGGACGACCCCCGCGGTCCCTTGTCACAAGCTATCATGGAGGCGCCCATTCCCCCGGGCATGGAGAAGCCTCCCCACTTGAAAGAATATGACGGCGTCGCTGACCCAGTCGACCATATAGACGGGTTCGAGGCCATGCTGCACTACCACAATGTCGGGGGACCAATCAAATGTCGGTTGTTCCCCACGACCCTGAGGAAAGCGTCTATGGACTGGTACAAGGGTCTCGCCCCGGGGTCAATTACCTCGTGGCGAAACTTGAAGAACCAATTTATCAGCTCGTTCACTGCTTCGCAATGACACCCGAAGACCGAAGTGGCGCTCGAGGCCATCGTCCAGAAGCACGATGAGACCTTGAGGGAATTCATCAACTGTTTCAACTGGGAAGCCATCCAGGTCCCCTGCACGGACCATATGAAGAGATACCTGTTGGAGAGGGGGCTCCTCCCCGACACCGAATTCAGGAAAGCTGTGGGCATCAAACCACCCCGAACGTTCGATGCCCTCCTCGAGAAGGCCAGAGCCTACATGAACTACGAGGAAAGGGAAGCGGCTAACAGAGCCTGAGACCCCAGAAATCGCGGATCCAACAGCAATCCGCGACAAGATACTTCCCCTCCTCGACGAACCGGGGAAAAGAGAAGGGACGATAAACCCCAGGACACCCGGAAGCAGAGGGGGCCCTCGGGACGGTTCACAGAATACACACCGCTCACGGCTTCCCGCGAGCGCATCTTAGCGGAGTGTGCAAGTACAAACTTTAAGGATGGCGGCGTCAAACGTCCCCGTCCAGCTCTTGCCAAACCCGGGGTGAACCGGAGCAAATACTGTCAGTACCACCGGAGCCACATGCATCTGACCGAAGATTGCGTCCACCTCAAAGACGCCATCGAGACCCTCATAAAAGGGGGGAGACTCGCACAGTACCGGCGAAACGACGCTCCTCTTCGGGACGCCCACGAGACGAGGGAAGCAGAAGAGAATGTCCGACCATCTGACGAGTTGGTTCCCATCCAAACTGCATTCTCCGTCACAAGACCCGAGGACTTCTACGTCCTCGATCACATGCAAGAATCTCTATCGACACACAGCAGGTGGGAACACTTCCCCTCCACCATGGTCATCAATGGTGGAGGGTTCAATAATCTGACCATAAATTCAGCTAAGAGGAAGCTGGACGAGTTGGTCGACACGGCCCCCCTCAAACGGTGACCTTTGAAAAGGTAAGGGTCAGGTCCGAGCCAATCACCTTCTATCTCGAGGAGCTCCCCGGAGGGGCCCCCAATTTGGTCATTCCTCTGCTGATAAGAGCGAGAATGACCAACTTTGACGTACACCGCATCCTCGTCGATGAAGGACATTCCATCGCCGTGATGTAAAATCAATTGTTCCGAACCATGCAGCTCAACGATTCTCACCTCTCACCTTACATGGGGTCGGACCTGCAGGGCTTTAACGGCTCAACTTCCAAGCCTTGGGGATACGTCGAGCTCATGGTTACATTCGGCAAGGATACGGCAATAAGGCAAGTCAAGGTGCGCTTCCTCGTCATTGATTGCCCCTCCCTCTACAACTGCATTCTGGGAAGGCCGACACTGGCGGAGCTGACCGCAATACCCTCCGCCATTCATTTAAAAATGAAGTTTTACACCAAGAGGGCACGGGTCGCCACTATCCAAGGGGACTTAGCAGCTGACCGAAGGTGTTTTAACGCGACATCCAAGGGACGCGACACGGTCGACACCAGCACAAGGCCCGCCAAGAGAGCTGCAACAACACGACCAGAACCTCAGAGGTCAGAGCCCGTCAGAGCAAAAGAGCAGAGAGTCCCTCCAAAGGTCGACTCATTATCCCTGAACATCCGTTTTGACCAGGATGAGCCTCCTAGCGGCGAGCAAGTCCCCCTTCGACCAATTCCGGACGGGGACTTCGAACTCATCCCCCTCAGTGAAAACCCAAGAAGAGGAGTGGAGATTGGCACCAGACTCTCCAACTTGGCGAGGAAGAAAATCAAAGCTTGCTTACATGAGAATGCCGACATGTTCGCGTGGAGCGCCGCAGAGATGCCCAGACTCGACCCTGAGGTCGTCTGTCACCAACTCGCCATTGATCCAGCCGCTAGGGCAGTAGTGCAACGTAGACGTATGTAGTCTTCGGAGAAAACGGAGGCTGCTAAAAAAGTTGTAAAAGACCTCATAGAGACAAATTTTATTTCTGAAGCCCGGTATTCAACCTGGCTGTCAAATGTTGTACTTGTCAAGAAAAATAATGTAAAATGGCGAATGTACATTGACTACACTGATCTTAATCGGGCATGCCTGAAAGATGCATTTCCTTTACCTAATATTGATATGCTGGTCGACAACTCGATCGGTTATAAAATACTATCGTTTATGGATGCCTATTCGGGCTATAACTAAATCCAAATGGCAATAGGCGACAAGCATTGCACCACATTCATGACTATCTCGGGCAACTATTACTACAACGTAATGCCCTTTGGTCTGAAAAATGCAGGAGCAACGTATCAACGGACGATGAACAAAGTATTCCACAACCAAATCGGGGATATGCTCGAGGTATACATGGACGACATGATCGTCAAGTCCCGAGCAGACACGGACCACGCCGCTCATCTCAGGGAAGTCTTTGCTCAAGCGAGGCAATGCAAAATGAGATTTAACCCCGAGAAGTGCACGTTCGGGGGTCAAGGTGGGTAAATTCCTCGACTTCTACTTGACAGAACGAGGAATCGAAGCCAACCCCGACAAGTGCCGGGATTTCTCCGACCTCCCCACACCTACATCAAAGAAATCCATACAAGTCTTGAATGGAATGGTCACCTCGCTATCTCGTTTCGCTACGAAATCCACTCAACACGCCCTCCCT